ACACACCCTAAGCCCCGGTTATATGTGGTCGTTCATTGTCATTCAAGACACGCCCTTAACGCTTACTTTACTTTTACAGATTCATCCATATTGYTGACAAAGCGATCAAAAATCCTCCTAAAATTCAAGAAGGAATTCGTAACTGYGATCGCTGTCATTCCGCTGCCACATTCTGGAAGTTCGATAATTAGTAGTAGGATGATTTAAAATTACAAGAATGATTTTCAGTTAATGCACAATGCTCGGTTTCAGCTATCGCATGCTGCACTCCGTAAGAAAAACAAAACAAACCAACACACTCAAAACAAAAAAAACAAACAAACAAAAAAACAACAACTCATAAAAATTAAAACTCATGAGCATGYGTATTAGAAGATTATCATCAGGCACCGTTTAATCATTATCTAATAGGAATGACAATCGTAATTTACAATAAAAAGTATTAAATCACCATTYTAACTCGTTGATTGACATTCCATTAGCCCATTTTCGATAATCTGGTTGAATACTAATGGATGAGCTGAAAGCGATATCATGTAACGAGAAGTATACTATGACGTCAATTTATATGGCTTTTTGTAGTACTGTGACGTCATGATCGTTGCATGATGTCATTTTATCCTGTGACGTCATAGCTAAATTAGGTTATAACTGTTGGTTTATCTCTTCCCGTGACCCTTTGAAGGTCGGATATTTTAAGGGCAATCTTCACTAGTGGCTGCAGCACGACCTGTGAATAAATAGTTATTGCATACTTGAGTTTCTATATCTACCGACATTTATAATTCAACAATAAATTTTCTSCYGCGCTCTCAACACATGAGTACATCGATCCCGCGCGCTTTTCGCAGGCTTCAGATAATTTTTGTTGTTGCATAATAAACACAACATGTGATAGTTATCCTTGGTAACAGGATGTTCTTCAAGACTACAGAAGACGTCCTCGGGCGACCATTTGTTTTCGAAACACCAAGTTTCCGCAACTATCACAGCATAATGCTCTCGTTCGATTCAACTCCTCTATTGTTAAAATAATGCAATGCGAGTCAAGTTACAGAAATTTCATAATCTTTATATGACATTAGTATTTTTCGGAAATTATGAAAATTGTTGGCTTGCAAAATTGTTGCAAAGATCGACTAGCTTCTTTTCAAATATTAGCCTCCATGTGGATTTTATTTTAGAATGCACAAATTATTTTTGGAAAACGGAGTCCGACTTCTTTTCGTTTTGTGAAAGAAACATKCATTCGTGAAAATGTTAAGTAACCTCAGTACCAGACTCTCTCTCCTGATCTTTCCAGTCCCTCTCTTACACGAAAACCTGATACTCAGGCTTCTAAGCATMGGGTAGCCCAAGCTTATTCGTGGAGATTTAAAGGAGAACGCGTTTGTGCCAGTGAAGTCTGGGTCCGATACACATTGCACTTCCCTTCAAATTTACATGAATGAGCTTGGGCTACCTGTGGTAAGGATAGATGATGCGCATCTATAGGAGGAAGGGCGGTCATACCTGTGCGTCCAAGTTGTATTTAGAAGTATCAGATTCATAGCTTTCTATGTATACTCGTACTGTTGCACCAACACTACCAGTGCCACTTAATCGATATATCACACGAGAACCATCGCTGAATATGATACGGACACCCTAAAGATTGAACATCATKAATACTGGTAGGATTCTAACATCATTATCATCTATTTCTTACCTGTTTTGTGGTCAGACTTTTATCGATTGGATCCGTATAGGAGAAATCGTCCATCGTTTCGACAGTGTAWGTTTTCTTCTGTTCCCCTACCCCTTCAGTGAACGATTCTCCCAMTAGAGTTCCCTTGGCTGCCTGTGCTCGCAGATCTTCCATCATTTTTGATGAGGGTGCYACCTCAACGTTTTCATAATCATACCTTCAAAATCGAATATTCATTACTGAAACATGACGTGAGAAACACAGCTTAACAATATCCTAAGCAACGCTGTGTTGCTTGAATAACACAAATTGCAATTGTAGTGAGCTTAAGGTTTGATTCACACAACGCAATTCGTGTTGCATGTATGACGAGCACAACTTGTTTACAACTTGGCTTAGGTAGACCATGCCGACATATCTTAAGGCCAATTTGTTCCATGAGATTTGTTGCGAGCGACAAGTCGTACGGACAATAGCTATAAGTCAAGTCGCATCGTGTAAATCTGCCTTCAGAAATATATGGATGAGACACAACTTATATTGAAGACTAACACGAATAGAAACGMAAGGGAAAGTTTTCAAAATATCACGTACCGAGTAAAGAAATTTCTGCCGTACTTTGACCAAAAGTCCTTCAATACTTCGGCAACAGACATGTTCCTCTTCGCCAAGATAGACAGCCACGCTATATGAAATACAATCTCGTGTAAACCAGATGAAGATGCACAACACAGATTAAAACAGTAAAACTTACCTAAAAATGCCCAGACTCCATCTTTCTCCCTGATATGATCAGAGCCAGTGCCAAAACTCTCCTCACCACACAATGACAGGCGATTAGAATCCATCAAGTTGCCAAAGAACTTCCAGCCTAAAGTAGTNAAAGAATACAAAATAAGGGTGACCTTTATCAGATATAAAGGTCCATGACCCTAGCAAAGGTCTCAGGTTTGATACCTGATCATTGAACAATGCAGGATGTCAACCAATTGCAGTAAACAGCTAAGAGCCTTCTATTTTACTTTATGCGTATTCAATGTGGGATGACAAGAGTGCTTTGTAAAGTGATTCGCGCATGATCAGTTTGCGCCATTTATCTCAAAACATATTTTTACGGCAATTTCTCCATGAATTTTAACGGATTTGAGTTTCAAATTAGCGTTATTGAAGCCGTTTAAACACTCGAGATCGTGTTTTATCAGGTATAATAGGGTATAATGATCTATCTGACCTGATAAAACACTGTGAGGATAATATGAAAGAGTACATTTGACATTACCAGTAGGAACTTCAAAGCACTCCGCGCCCTTTGCCTTGGCAACTCTGTCTAACGCTGCACTAGTTGGCATACTACGAGCAAACCCTCYCGTTCCCGTCTTCACAAAGTACGGTATACAATCTATGTTATCTGCTATRACTGCTACTGAGTCAGATGGTGTKACAAAGAATCCATTTTGTCCAATAATCATGTTACGATCCTATATAACAATGAAATAACAGTCATTAGTATAAGTTTTATAATTGGAATTGGTCTTAAGTTTTTATTACAGCAGCATTAAACAACTGTTCTCGCTTATACATGGAGTTAGTGAAGTAAGATTCTGACAAGAAATTGATGTACACAGAGTTTTGTTTGTCTGTTCAGTTTTTGKTCCCCCGGAAATGTGTTATTATTTGGGAAAATTTTAGTTTTCTTGGAAAAATTGTTATTTCTGAGAGAATTATATATTCTTGAGGCAACCACTTGTTACTCTCATCTGGCCGAAACATAAGAACAGATAAATGTATATTTCTCACAGAAACCCGTTGGCACCTCCTAGTTTTTAATGAGACGAGTGTGATAAAACTAAGGGTATCACTGACATTACCCCATCCCCATCAAATGCCGCACCAAGACCATGTTCACCTTGCTTCATTTCTATTAGGAGGTCAGCAGCGTACGTCAAGTTGGGGTCTGGATGAAGTCCTATAATTCACATTGAGTATTTATTGTGAAAATTAGCACCACAAAGTAGAGTGCACRCCATACAACTGTGAAACAATTCTTAAATAATAACACACTCTCTCGTGTTTTAAACTAAACATAACAAGATTGTTGTTACCCTGGTTCTAGAGGAATTCTCTTCTTTTCTAGAATGATGTTTTTTCATTAGCACTTGTCGTATTTTTGTCTTCTTGCAACATTTAATTTAAAAAGCAAAGAAACAAATTATGACAAAAGAAGAGTAAATCTCTGGYACCTGGGTGGCTTGTTGTYAACCCTGTTGTAAAATAACAGCAATAATGTCCTCCCTTGCAACCTGTTCTTTCACCTAGTTCTTKCACAATTCATAAATATATTACCTCCAAAGTCTTCTAATGGAACGCACTTGACAATGAACGATTCTGGTGCTCCTAGTTCTCCACAAAGAATGGCTTTGACATATGGACCAGTAACTGAGAGTAGAATGGCAAAGTTAAGTATTATAAAAATCAATACCACAGACTATAATTATTTACAGCTCAAGGCATAAAAGTKTGGCCAAGCTGTCAATGTATACTTGCATACTTTGTGTCAATTGCTTATTACCAATTATTGTTGTAGGATGTCACTGTTATCTTGTCTGGGATCAAGACTGGTTGGGATCCATGGTGAGACATGCACTCCAAATACATTATGAGTGTCCACACTTTTATGCATTGCGCCGCAAGTATAAGTCATTTAAAAATATGTTTTTTTTTTCTTATGTGCTTTCTCTTGGAATTGAGGAAGAATGACAAAATAGTGACTAGTAAGAATTATAAATTTTAGAAATGGTTCTTCTTGAAAAACCCAAAAGTGTATGGTTCATTCCTTCAAGTTTACTCTATTTACATATGAAATTGCAATGGTTAATATGATTGACATCAAACTGGAAAAAAATGTGCCATTCATAAATTCCTTTTCTACTGGYYA